TGACTCTCATCAAACAGTACCAGATAAAACAAATGAAAATGAACAAACATCATCAATTAATGGGGAAAAAAATTCGACAGGTGAACCAATGGATCAACAACAAACTGATTCAATATTAGATAAGGTAAATAATGATGTATCATCCAATGAGACGTCAACAAAAGATGATTCAACAACAAGTAAACAAAAGGCAGATTTATCAACATTACCAACACGTGCATATCTTGATCAAACTGTGGTACCTATACTTTTACAAGGTATGTCACAATTAGCTCGTGATCGTCCAGCTAAACCAATTGAAAGTTTAGCTTTATATTTACAACAAAATAAAGAAAAATATGGTGAATAATTTCTTATAAAAAAAAAAAAACCATTTTCGCATTTGTTCTTTTTTTTTCTATTGTTACTGTTGTTGTTATACATATTTCGGAATGTTATGAAGCAATTTTTTTTGTTGTGGTTGTTATAACTATACTTTTTAAAAGTGTACAGAAATTTTTTGCACTTATTACTGTTATGTATATTATTCACTTTTGAATTTAAGACAAAAAAAAAAAACAATTTAACTTAGTGGGAAAAAATTTATTTAGAAAAACAAAACGAAGTTTCTTTTCGCGCCACTGGTTTTTTTAGATTTAATTCTTACGCGTATTTTATTAACTATGTCGGAAGTTTCGGGTGAAAATCAACAAACACCAACTAGTGCTGGTAGTGAATCAGGTGATAAAAATGTTGTAAGCACAACAACAGCAGCACCGGAACAAATGGAAGCTCAACCAGCTGTTGATTCAGGTGAGCAACAATCAAATGATAAGCAAGCATCATCGGCTGATGCAACAAAGGAAAATACTTCAAGTTCGCAACAACAATCAGGTGAAAAGACCAAACCTGATTTATCAACATTACCAACACGGGCTTATCTTGACCAAACTGTCGTACCAATTCTTCTTCAAGCAATGTCTCAACTTGCTAAAGAACGGCCTGCTAAACCAATTAGTTTTCTCGCTGAATACTTAGTTAATCATAAAGAAAAATACAATGAATAAAAGATAAAGAGAGAACGACAATATCAGATTCAGACAATTTCTTTTCATTCTCTTTCCCTCTTTGTTTCTTTTCTTTTTGCTGTTAATTGAACGATTATTATGATTATTCATTAACTATCTTTGTCTTCTTCTTTTTTTTTTTTTTCTCTCTGTATTTGTTGCGTTTCAAAAACATTGTCTACTGTTGTTGATTGTGGTTGTGTTTAAAAAGAAGAGAAAATAAAAAAAACTTAGAAAGAGAAATCTATGTGTTGATAAAGGCAGCATGAATATTCAAATTAATTGAAATGTTTTTTTATGATAAATACAAAAAAAACTTCATTTCGTTCAACTCACATCAGAATCAAGTTGTTTTCTTATTTGTGTATTTTACATATTATAATCTTGATAATTTAGGTTGACACTTCTTATCATTTTTTCTGTTGATTTATCAGTAATTATTTATTAATATTTGTTTTGCTAATGCACATTCCAATTGATTCATTTGTATAAGAAGTCTAAATACAATTAATGAGAGAAGTATAGAATCCATTATTAAAATGAAAATTTTCTCTTGACAAAAAGAATTTCTTCGAAAATTTTTCCTATTGTTAAAATAAAATGAATAATTAATTCTTAAAAAAAAATATGTGTATTAAAAAATCTAAGAGAAGAATAAGACTACAACGCACTTAAAAATAACCTTATCGGCAACACAAATTAGTTTCATCAATCATCGAATAATATTAATAGTTTTAATACGAAATCATTTCAGAAACGATTTATCATAATTGAATCAAGGCCTAAAAATTTCCATAATGACACTATTTGCTTGAAATCTTGGTGAAACCATCGAGGGTAAGGATGAGAATGATAGGTTATATTGAAGGTTAGTGGTATGAGGATGTTTTCTAACTTATTACCTTATTTTTGACGATTGGGTCGCAGCTTATAGCAAACAATTTATTATGTCTATTAGAAAAAACAAAAAAACAACAATTAACCTTAACAGCGACATCAGCAGACGAAATGCTCCACTAGTGCGCACATTTGGAGGATATAACAAAGTAAAACAAAGCGTCATATGGAACATATATATGTCGAAGAGTGTGCATGAACTTTGCATATTGATTTCTACGAAAGAAAAACTTCATTAGCTAATTTTCTACATTTAAAAGTTTTCATGCAGACAATAATATTTCTAAAATTTGTGCCAACGCAGTTAGACTCCGCAGCTCTGGTTAATGCATCAAAATTTATATAAAAAATAAAATTAGTTACAACTTATTATTTCCTAAAGATCAAAGAAAAAAATATTTACTCATAGGCTTCAAAAGAGCGAACAAAGTTTAAATATGTTTATGAATGTTGTTGCTTTTTGTAAAATAACCCAGAATTCACATATTATTTATGATTATCAACTTGTAAATCTATGTATTTGTTAATTATTGGAGACCGAATATTTGTTTCTTTCACATAGAACTATTCATGAGAACAACTGCTATTGTTTTTTTAAAACGAAGAATATATAAATATATATATTTGTAATCATCAACTAGAGATTCAGAAATACAACTCATCAAGTTGTACTTATAAACAATCAAGAAAAAACAAATCAAATATTCATGACGATTATATTCTATCTGCGATTATCATCTCATCAAATAAGAAACAATTAACACATGAATATCTTTTATTTTATACACTTCTCGATTGTAGTACTCTCATAAAAACATTTGATTTAATTGAATTGTGTTACAATATCTATGAATGTGTTCGTCTTGTATATAGAAGTGAAAATTGCCATGAGCTACTCTAATTTTCATATTTTTTCCGCAGATCATTGTTATTATTAATTTGAATTATCTAAAAAGAATCATAGATCACTTTAGATTCATATTATGAATATTGCTCAGCTCAGTTCAATTTTTAATCTTCGATAAATAGACGAAATTTGATATTAATAGAAAGATTTTGTTTTTTATCAATATTATCATTATAATCAAACAAATATCTTGAGTTAATACTTGACAATGTTCAAACTTTGGATGGATGATCACTCTAATGATTAGAGAAGAGGGATATTAATAAAAAGATAAACGATTTATTCATATTATAAGAAACTTATCAAAAGAGACAAAAATTATTTTGCATCTAATACAATAAAACATGATTTATTTCAAACTGCTATCATTTTCTATTGGAAAAGCAACTTGATAAGAACTTAAATCCGTATGGAGAAGTTGTCTCGTTATCACATCTACTTTTCTCAACCAAATACTTATTTGATCGGTCACTTATCGTTTTCGATAAGATTGAAGTGCAGCAGATAGAGAATTAGTTTAGAAAAATAGATCTGATTTCTTCCCTTGTGGTAACAAGACAGTGCTTACAGGTAGTCCAAAAAGTATCCGGACACCTCCATGGTTTTTCGTATATCTTGGTTTGGCAAACAGAAATAAGAGATACAATTTTTCTTTTTTCACCAGTAGATAGCCTTTGTTTTGTGCAATTTTTGAAGACTTTCTAACGATATATTTGGAAATTAATCTTGATAAAAAATTGATTGTAATCTTTTACTTGCACTGTTGTACTAGTGGTGTCAAAATAATATAATTGTGACGTCTGAAAGCCAAGCACCTATCATATTGGAAAATCGGACATTTCAATGAGAGACATTCTCGTAATTCGAGATAATAATCAAAATTGTCTATTTTTATAGAGAATCTAGTATGAACTGAGGACTATCTACTGACGAAAAAAGAAAAATAATATCTCTTGTTTCAATTTCGAGAATCAAGATATATAGGTGTCCGGATACTTTTTGGACTACCTGTACATATTGATTTATACTCATATCAAATTGTTTTCTCTGAAGAGCACTGCTTGCTCTTTCAAATTTGACAAAAGTGAAAAATGACATAAAACGTCTACTAGGAAGAAAGAACCTAAAAATGAAAAATGTAGACACTCTTTTATCGATACGAAAACAGAGGCAGCTAAGATATTGACATTTGAGATACTCATTGAGGTTCCTAACACATATAATGATTTTTGATTCATTTTCAGGAAATAAACTCAAAAATACTTCTTCGTGAATTAAGTTGTAAAAACTAATTTTCTGAGTAAATATCTTTGAGTTATCTCGATATAATCTTCTATTTTTTCTTATCCCTTGTTAATGTTTCCATCGATTATATCTGGGAACATATTATAATGTTACAAAAAAAGAAATTAACTGAATTCTTCATCTGATTCTACATCGTTCTTAATGAAGCGTTACAACATCTGTTGGAAGATATTAATTTTCGATATTGTCTATTTTTTTCAACCATGGTTGATTTGTTATGTATAAAATACAACATCATGCATCATTAAAGTTGTGTTATATGTTCTCGTTTTTCATAAGTATAATATTCTGTCATTATTTTGACGATCAAAACTTGGTTTTATAGAGTCATTTTGATATAGGAAACAACAAAATATCATGATTAAATATATATTGGAAAGTTAAATATCGAAATGTTTGAATATTTTCTTTTCTTAAAATTCAACTTACATTTATCGATCAAATTTAAATAGTTGTTTTATTTTTCTTTTTGAGTTGAATCATTCGAATAGAACAAATACAAACAGAAATAATTAATTAATAAATGAAAATACACTGATACAAAGATAAAACTGAGTATTCATTTAAACAGTTAGAAAGATCAAATAAAAAGACAATCCACGCATAGACACTGTACAAAATTTTAACGATTTCATACGAATATATATATAAAGAAAAAAAAAAAGATTTCTAAGTGCAGATGTGATAAAAAAAAAAAGAAATGATCTTATCAGGAACTTTAGTTGATCTTTAGAGAGATATACAAGGCAACAAATTGGAGACGGAATGAATAAAAGAAAGAAGAATAAGAAAGAAAACATATTCACACACGTAAGTTTTTATCATATCGAATGGTTTCTTTTGTTTTATGGACTATCGCGTTGGATGATATTTTTCTGTTGCAATAATTGGGTTTCAAGTTGTTTTAATGCATTCGAATGAATTTGATCCATTTGAGCTATTTTTATTGAATGTTGTTGTTGTAATGCAATAACAAATTTAATTAAATCTAATGAAAATTTACAAAAAAAAAAAAAAAACATTATTTAATAATAATAATAGTTATATGTTGTTTACCGTCTTTTGAAGTTGATTGAAGATCGTCAGGTAAAAGTTGCATATGAATATCATTATCTATATCATCGGATGGTAATTTATTATTAAAATTAAATGTTGTATTCAAGATAGATGTTGTATGTGAATAAGAGTCTCCATTATGATTCCATTCATGAGATGGTGATGTTAGAAAACCATTAGTTGGTGTTGATGTCCATGGCGATGATGGACATGTTGCAGGTGATAAAAATTTTGTATTGGAACGTAAACTAAAATAAAATTTAGATAGATGATGAAATCTATTATCATAAAGAAAAAAAAAAACTTTATATATATTACCTTGATGCGGAATCAATATTTTCATGATCTAATAAAGAACGATTTGTAGTTGATTTATCAAGTCGAGGACTATTAGTCTATAAACAATAAAAATGAGTAAATTATTGACAATAGAAAATGTCTCTAGTGAATATATTTATTTTCTTTCAACAACTAAAAACTGTAATTATTGTTTAGTTAATGAACTAGAATTCATTAATTGATATTTGAATTGAAAGAAAATCTTTGTTCTTTGTTTTTGTTTTAAAGATCATGTAGAACAAACAGTAAATAAATTTGTTCTTAAAGTACATAGCTAAATGTTATTTCACACTCTTATCGTTCGTATTCAATTTTTATTGTTTTCATATATTAGGTTTCTTAAACTAAAAATAATTGAAATTACCTTTGATGATGAAAAGAATGAAGACATTTTAGTCATATTATTTCCATTTGTTGTAATTGATTCACGTGATACACTTCGTCGTAAATCCATTGTCATTGAACGTACTTTAGATCTTGAATCATTTGTACCATTCGATGGTGGTGTTATTATATTGTTTGATGATGGTTTTCCATTATCAGTTGAATTCTGTATACGTAATTTTGGTGCAATAAAACGACGTCGCACAGAACCAAGTAATGAACTATCAGTATGACGATCAGATGTTTTTATAGAAGAATTATTATGTATTTCTTCTTTTTGTTGTTGTTCAATATCACATTCATGTTTATATTGACTATTAGATAAAATAAAATTCATTAATGGACGATTATTATCATGTAATGTACGATATAAATTATCAAATAAATTCATTTTTGTACGTTCCTATGTAAAATAAACAACAATGAATTTATAAAAAAAACAAAAAAAAAACAAAGAGAAAACTATTTTTGTTACTTGATATTTTTGAAATGTACTTGCACGACATGATGCCAATTCAGCATTAATTAATTTTGTTAATAACCATTGTTTAAATGTATGATCACAATTAAATGATGACGAATGATTAAAATTTGGTCCAAATGATGGTACACTATCACGATGAATAACAGATACTTTAAATTGTGTACCATCATTATTTAATGGTGTTATAACAAGATAGACATGCAAAAATTGTGATGCTATACATGCAGGATTAAATATTGTTTCAGTTTCTTGAAAAATAATTGCAACAATATCATTTCCAATATGACGTTTACGTTCAAGTTGTTGTCGTTCACTTTTTGAATATGGTAATAATGTACTAACATGAAACATGATTTCATGATTACGAAACTGTTCATAAATTGATTCAGTTCCTGTTTGATCTGATTTAACATCAAGACCACCACGAAATCTAAATAATAATAACAACAACAAAAAACTTTTTTTCTTTTCTATTAATCTGTTTTGTGTCTATTTTTGTTTACCCTCGAAAATCTTTTAGTTTAACACGTGTACCAATTAAATCAAGAAATTTATCCATAGCAATATTATGTGTTTCATTACTAAATATATCTTCTTCAGTTAATTGATTTTCACGTTGATATATTATACCAAATTTATGTTGATTAGATACATGTGATTCATCATATTTTAGTAATAAATCATGTGCCTAAATACGAAAAAAAAAAGCAATTTGTTTTAGTTTTGTAAGACATGAAATTCTTTTTTTCTTATTTACTCCATCACACAGCACCGGATCAAAATATTCTATATCTGTAATAGCACATTGTTCACATAGTCGACGTAATATATCAAGAGGAGTAGATAATGAATGTATATCCGATATAGTTTCAATAAATGTTCGTAGTCGTGTTCTATAAAATTATACATCATAGTTTCTTATTAAAAAAAACAAAACAAATTAAGATATTAACTATATTACCTAATAATTGACATTATAGATCTTTGTTTATTTTGATCAATAGAATGTTTATATGAAATAATAATAGGTCCCTGACTTTCACTAATACCATACCAATTAAAATGTTCCTAAAATAAACGATTAATTATGAATTATTGTTTATTTCTATATACTTTTGTTTCAAATTGTTGACGATATATCAATGGTGTATCATCTATTTCAAGTTGAGGTAAACAGTCATCAAAACTTGTTCCACCATTTACATGGATAGAAGTTGAATTTTCATAACACCATGTATACTCATTTGTTGGTTTACTATATGTCATTGTTGCATGATTACCAAGAAAAACTGTTCGTTGTGATGATGGCGATTCAACCATACCAGTTGTACCGACATTAGATAATGGCTCAAATAGTCCCTAAATAGTTTATATAAAAATAAAAAAAAATAAAAACATAAATATTCTTTGTTTATTACCAATCGATCAACGGTAGTAGCAGGAGCTGTAGACAAACGCTATAAAGAAAATAAGATAAAAAGGTCATTAAGGTTCAATGAAATTCGTCTGAAAAATATTTTCATTAAGCAAAAATAGAATTATTAGTCTACTAAAACACGTACGAAATAATTGTTACTACGAATATGTAATAATGGCGATAAATTGATCATTCGATGAGTAAATATTGGTGACATTCCTGATAACTTCTCATCGGAATTCATATGTAAACGAATCTCAGTTGTTAATGCTCGTTCACGTCGTCGCATATTGATCGTTATGTTCTTTTTTTTTTAAGGAAAAATATTTAACGTCAAAAAAGAATCTATTAGGATGAAGATTGATTCGTATGGAATAGGATTGGTATTATTATTATTATTACTATTCGGCACAATAACAAATAACTATTGACGACAGTCAAGAGACAAAAGAGAAAGAAATCTTTTTTTCTCTTTCTCTCTATTTCTAGTATAGAAGAGAAAGCGTTGCGATGTGTTTTAGAGACGTGCGACGCTTGTCTGATGATGAAAAATAAGTGCTCTTCTTCTTCTTCTTTTTCTCCTTCAGCGAATGCTACAAATGCTTCTGTCTTTCTTGTCTTGTGTTTTTGTTCATCATCATCATCAGTTTCTTCTTTTTTTTTGTGGTTCTGTTTTTTTCTTATTTTCTTTCCTCGTTTATATGACAGCTAAGACAACCAAAACAGATATACTAAGCAGTAGACAAAGACAAGAGATGAAAGAAAGAAGAAAAAAATGAATAGAACTATGACATGGTAATATCTCGTTGCCATCCATTTGGTGGCAATGGCGCAATCACATTGGCAACATACGAGTGAAAGCTGACAAATGTAGAACATTCAACCACTTAAAGAAATGTGATGATGTAATCAATACTATTTCATTATGAGAAAAAGATCAATTAACCCTACAAATGGTATTATTGAAGCAGCATATATTAGTTGCCATAAAAAGAGATTTTCGTCTGCATACCTGAATAAAGCCAAATACGCTATATTTACGTGGCTGAACAAAATAAAGAAAAATTTTTATCTTTTTTTTTTTTTGTTCATTTTGTTTGTATTTCATTACTCATTAATATTAATGAGTCGAAAGAAAAAAAAAGCACAGAATTAAAATTTATAAAACATACTTGAGTTTCTTGTGTAACTGGTTGTGTTGGATTATTATTGATACTGATTGCCTCCGATGCAGTACCCATTAAATTAACCAAACTTGTACTAATCTAAATAAAATAAAGTTTAAATTAATTAATTATGAACAATACTGTGTCTTTTTCTTTTTATATCTATTTATAAACATGATCTATTAGTAAAATCTATAGTTTATATTAGATAGAGTGTCAGTTTGACTAGTTGAGAGACGACTAAACTCATCTATTCTTTTCTTTCGAATGAATTCAATTTGACACGCAAGTGAGATTAGAGAGTAATAGGCTCTATCTATATGTGCGAGTGCATGAGTAAGAGAGGAAAAAAAGAGTATTGATATGCTTGATCTGATGCGTCGCACTCACACAATCGATCCATGAAACTGTTCAAATAATACTTTAGTCAGTCACACTATATCGAAAAAAAAGAAAGTGTTTATCTGTCTCGGTATGTACTGCATCGATATATTGATTACTTTCGAATCGAACAAAAATGAAGACAGAAATGGAGAATAAGTGAATGAACGTACACGAACGAGAACGAGAAAAATGAAAAAGATAAAAACATATCCATGTAGAATAGCATGTAACGATGATGTGTTAGATACTCTTCTTCTCACCTCTTTATTAGGTAAAACACGAGGAGGAGCCAACGATGATGAAGATGATATGTCATCGACTGTACTAGATGATATTTGTGATGGTGTATTATCGCCTACAGATGGATTTTGTGTTGTTGGTGACATTTGAACACTGTTCTTTTTATCCAATGGTTTACGTGGTGGTAATGCAGGTGGAATATCTTGATTAGTAGATTGTGCTGTTGATCCAGCAAGATGATTATAATGTTTGTATGATGATGAAGATTTTTTTGGTAATAAGGATGGTTTCGATGAATGTCGATTTTCATCTTCATGTATAACATTTGTTTCAACTGTTGACGAAACTTGTTTATTGGAGCTTGAGTTACGACCGGGTTTTCTTCTAAATGAGAAACAAAAAAGCATATTATGAGTTTTTTAATAAGAATTTTTTTCTCTTTCATAATTATTTTTATCAAAAAAATTAGTCATGCAAAGTACTGAGTCATACAATATGACACACAAAAAGAATAATGATTCTTAGTTGTTAAAACAGTTCTCAAATATAATGAATTTAGCAATATGTGTTTCTGATAGTTGATGTTTATTTTCATAATCAAACTAATCTATATCAACACATCATGAACTTCACTAAATGTCGCATTTTTTATATATATCATATCACAATATTCGTTGAACTTTTAATAGGATTGACCTAATGCTTTTCTTTGTTATGTTTGAAATAAGACAAGCATCACTATTCGGCTTAACACAGATTGAAGTTCTACTACTTTGATCTTTTCTTTATAGTGTGTAAATATCAATTATGATATTTATAAAACTAAGAATTCAATGAAATATTAAGTTATTATTAAACTTTAATCTGTATCTATTTACAATGCCTTCATTTTAATAAATATTCTAAATAAACAGGTTTAATATTCTACTTCAAACTACCAAAATGACTCTTTATATCTAATGAAAAGAAAACTATTTTCTTTGTGAAGATAATTGAAAAGGTAGAATTGATTGTAAAATAGAAATTTTCAAGTATATCTAATCAATTTTATTTCGTGTCTCAAGCATATGTCAAATATCACGAGACAGAAACCTAATTATATATATGTATACATATATATCAACGTGTACAATCAAGAGATTGATTTATTATTACTTTCTTATAGTCAATAGTCTATGAAACACTCTCTCTATTATTTGTTTTTTGATGATGATGACAATGACCATCATCATATGTTCACCTTCATCTTCTTGAATATATACTAATATACCTGATGTTGAAAGACGGTAAAAATTGCATCTTCGATTGATGATGTATGTTGATCGATAAATGCAAAAAAAAGCCAAATACACGTCGACACGTTGAAATCTCGTCAATATTATCAATAATAATATTATTGTTCTTCTCTCGCCTATGAGAAACCTTCGTCTTGAATTACTATAGATACTCCTACTCCTCGGCACACATACACATGCCAAGATACGATGAATGGGAAATTAAAAAAATCACTTTGTGTTTTTTCTTCTTCTTTTTCTTTAACAACTTGGATGGAAAGAAAGATGAAAAAAAAGAAATCAAGCAACAGATGTTAAGACATACAATTGTGTGTGAACTCGTTATCGTACCTGAATAACAACATCTGTCTTTGAAGAGATCAAAACTTAATCAATAATGTACAATGCAAGTAAAAAAAAAGAAAGAATAATAATTCTTGATCATTTTATGACAACAGCATAAAATGTCATCTTATGTGTAAGGATAAAACTGCATACCTTCGACGAAATGAGCTTAGCATTGCTGTTATCGAATCTTCTTTGTAGTAGAAGCGTCAATTTCAATATTATTGTATATTTGTACTCTTATTCTTGTACATGAAATATATAATCTGTCATAAATATTCGTCTTTCTGATTTTCATATGGTATGACTTGTTTGTCAATGCATGCGTGATGATTCAAAATAATTGTCGTCAAAGCGGGGGTAAAACAGAGATGCAAACGAATGACGAACAAAAATAAAGCAGTGATGTATGTGTCTGCCAATGCCACTTTTTCTCTCTCTCTCTCTCTCTTTCTCTTTATTTCTCTCTTGTAACTTCTTAAAATACAGTTGACCGTCAACGTTCTCTTCTCAATTTTTTTTTTTTGTTCGAAACCAAAAAAGAAAAAAGTAGGAAGAAAGCACGGCGACAGCAGGTCAATACGTATACATACATGCATTCTTTTACCGTTTCTCTCGTTATTGAATTTTTTTGTTAGTTCTCTTTTCTCGCGTCTCGGTGATAATTCAAGGAGGTACCACTATAGTTGTACTGGATGGCTATTATTGTCGCCGGTCGAGGACAGAGAAGAAAAAAAAAAAGAAGAAAAAGAATTAACAATGAACGTGACATTTCTTATAGAACACATCAACGAAAGAAAGAAATGAACTCTGTTATAATCGTCATTTATTTTGCCAATTATCATAAAACTAATGCATACCTTCAACGCATAAACCTACACTATGCACCATATGAGATGACCTCTAATTACATTTGACGCAAGTTAATTATAATATATACGTGTGTATAAATTCTAATGTACAATCAGGTGTTATAGTTTTGTTCTACACAATTAGAATTATTGTTATGAAGGTCACAAAAAAAATTCTGTTTTTTTTTTCAGAACTTTACTGATTGAATACATTGATCCTTGTTGTTTTTTTTTTGAATACTTACTTTTCATCCATCTCGATTGTTATTAGTGATACGTTAAATATTTGTTTGCTTGCTTATCGCTAATTTATAATAGACGCTTATACATTTAATATGCAAAAGAATAATAATAAGACGAGTAGTTGCAAATCAAATGTTGTAGCATTATCTTTTCTCTTACAGTCTCACATTGTTCACGACAACACTGAAAGTGTTTGGTAGTAGAAGTAGTAGTGGATAGAAGAAAAAGAATTCACTGTGAAAAATATACTCGCAATCCTTTTTCCTGTTCTCAGATACAAGAAGGAAATAAAACCCGGCGTAAACTAGCGAATCAGTTGTCGAGCACAACATTCATAACATGATCAACTAAGACAAACATATGGTTCCATAGTCAAAGAAAAAAAAAACGTAGAACTAGAAGAAAATAATTTAGAAGAAAAGATGTCGTATATTGGTTATGAATTCAACGACAGAATGTAGCATAATAATGTACATTTTATTTAGTTCTTAAAATAGTTCGAGAATGTCTTGTTCTCTTCGACTGATTACAAAAAAAACTACACAAATAAATCATATTTAGTGTTTCTTTACCTTGCTGAAGCACATGATGTTAAATGGCGTATAGAATGCCTAAAAGTGGAAGACATTGAGCGAATGTTGTTATAAGATGATTGATTTTGCAAGTATTGTCTTTGATCATTATTATCATGACTTCGATTCAATTTTAAGAGTTTATTATGCTTATATTCAATGTCGTCTTGGTAACCATCATGCGTCTTACGTGATGTGTGCATGGTTTGGGATTTTTTCGTTTTAGATTGAATGTTCGCTTTTCACACTATTATCATCATCTCAAAAAAAAAAAAAAATACAAAATAAAATCAGGATTAAGAATAACAAGGACAGGTCAGTTCAGGGTCATTCATCATCAAAAAAAAGGAAGAAGAAGGTGAAATACGAACGACAAAGACAAAGAGAGAGAAGAAGAAGAAAAAAAAGATGTACAATGTCCTCAATAAGTAAAACAGTAAGGAATATTTTCGTTCATTAAACTTCACTATTGTATTTACTCGACGTGTGCTTTAGCACACAAAAGCTTACCTTCGTCAATGAGTATGTATGAGTATACGTCTTGATAGTTGATGAGACATAAACTATGAATCACAAAAGATCAATACAAGGAGAGAAATAATCGTGTCGCCTTATTTGAATTGTTATTAAAATACACTATGAAATGTCATTGTTTTTTTTCGTTAGATTCAGATGATACGATTACAATTATCGAGAAATCTACGTAGCAAGAAATAGTCTCTTGTTTTGTAGAAAGAAAGAAGACAAGAAGAGAGATATTTTTTTTTTCATCGTTTCCTATGTGAAAAAAATGCGTAATAAATAAAAATGTTTGTGGAGACAGCGAGACTCAACACGCTATCATCATTTAACTAAAAAATAGACATAAGCACAAGAAATAAAAAAACGAACGAAATAGTACATGTATGCGCATGTGCCAAAAAAAGCGAAAAAAAAAGTAGGAGAACATAATAAAATGACAACGATGTGTTATTGGTGCTTGTTGTAAAGCTTAACATTTTCGTGGGATACAAACACGTGTATTCGATGTCTATTAGTCATCTTTATTTTATTTAAGAAATAAACTTACTCATAATGACTCGTTGTATACCCTTGTAGATATAAATGAGGATTGGTGACTTTCTCTCGGGCTTCCTTTTTTTTTTCTTGTCTTCTTTTTAAAGATAAGATCATTCCATATGGCGTTCTACTGTGTTGAAAAGATAATAATAGTGGGTTGACAGTAGTTTAGATGAAGTACGAATATACACAATATATGTTCACACAAATTACATCATGCACAATTGAACTAATGAACTTGTGGAAATAAGAAAGAAAAGCAGCATGTAGATGGCTTTTTTTTAGTATGAGTAGGCGTTGAGAATAATGCTTGAAAATATATATAGTGCTTGCTTGAATAAGTCTTAAAACTGCTTTATATTCTTTTCCATAGTGTTATTTTGAACTCGTATATATTAAAAAAAAAATCTTTATGAAGTTTTCCAATAATTTAATATTCAGTATTCTACGTATTAAATGATCGATATTTTGAATATAAATGAAAATAGATGAATATGATTAATAATTTTGTAAGTGTAAAATTTTTAAAACCAATATAATATGTTAAATTTTGTCTGTTTATTGAAAGTAATGTTTGTTTTAATGTAATACCTAATAATCTACAGATTATAAGTCGTCAAGAACATTCTATTTTCATAATAAAATAACTTTGCGTATAATCAACAACTTATATAGATAGAAAAAAATCATAAATTGCTTAACAAGTCAACAATAAAAAAAGACAATGATAAAATTTTCTATAAAACACTTGTCAGAATTTATTTCTTAAAATAACTCAAGGAGAAAAAATAAATTTGATCGACAATTAAAAAGATTTATAATAAGTGAGATCAAAACAATGAGATGATAAAACTAAAAACCCAGTAAAAAATTGATTTATATAAAAATTGTCGATGTTAGAAAATTTATGTTGGGAAATTCTGTATTTTTCTTTATCAACACATATGATGACATTAAATAAACAATGTAATAGGAAAAGTCGACAGTTGTCTTACCCGATGGGTTTATAATAAATCATACGATTATTTCATCAAAGATAATACGATTCAAATTATCTTTATTGTTGAAATCACAGTTGAAAATAATGTAAGCCATCATACTTTCAAGATTACTTAAATTTAGTAAATTTGTCTACTAAGAAAGATTTTGCATTTAATGATAAAAAAATTCTCAACGAAATATCAAAGTCAAAATTGTTCTCAATTAATTATATTTACAAAGTGTTCTGGTAGTATGGTATTGATAATATACTATTTTGACATAAAATAAATGAAATGGATGAGAAACTGCAATCCGCTAATCTTTGCTTTGAGATGAATAAAAGTATAGAAACTTTTATTTATTGTTCTTATGTATTGAACTTCGATAGCATAAAAATGTAGAATTTTTAGCATAGACAGAAGAGTACATAGTTAAGTCTAATTTATTCTTTTTCTTGATTTCGTACATTTGACGTGTGAGTTTTGAATGTGCATGTTCGTAATACATCCGATTGTTTACTAATGATAGTAAATTAATAAACGTGAACTAAGCTTTCAAAGAAAAAAAACTATACGTCACATCAACTTAAGTCACATCAGATTTTAGACTAATTTTGACATGGAAATGAATGAAGCCAGATGTACATTAAAAAAATGCTCTTCTAATAATATTCTTTAAACTTTCTTTTTCTCATTATTTTGTTAGTTTCATCAATGTCTACTAGTATGAAAAAAAGGATGACATGAAAATATTACACCCATTCTATGAAGAAATTTCAATCATCAGTATTAATTTTAAAGAAAATGTTTATCTTTAGTTTTTCAAAAAAAAAAGAACGAATAGGTTACTAAACATGATGCTCATTAGAGCAGTAATCTGATCGAATGATTAGCTATTCATTATCTTAAGTCATTATGCATTTAATGTCGCTTAGTTCTGTGTGACATTCATCAGACTTGATACAACTCAAATTTTCCTATTTTATTAAAGCATAACGATATTCAAATGCATGTGAGTAACTCGTAATACATCAATTATAAATGAACAAAACAGCTATGCAAAAAACTTTTAGCAAGATCTATCGGCTATCAGTCTTCGTTACACTACAATTAAGACGTTCCTGAATTTTTTATAAGTACATGGAGCTTTTTCTTATATTCAGCACGGTTATTGATCCTTCTGAAAAAATTTACTATCGAACTGAAAAATGCTTGCAGTTCCTTTCATTTTTTTGCTACCTATGCATAGTTAGAAATGTAGCGTCATCTGTCGATAAAAACCAGATGCCAAATTTTTATATTTTGAACAATGCCAAAACCGGGATTGTTTTTCTCAGAAAGTAATTCAAGATAAAATTTTTGACAGGTGAAATCAATCAGACGGTAATGCTTATTTTTCATTGGTTGGTCGTTTGAACACAATGACAATAATATAAAGACTCTGAAGACAAAGGTTCTTTCATTGTTTGAAACAAGAAAATGAACATTCTGATACAAAAGTTGTGCTACTGAGTTGCTCAATGAATAACACATTGATGAAAGTTTTTCTATATGTTATTAACATTTATTTTTAGATATTAGTATAACACTAAAATTGGTTTATTATTTTAATTGCTTAGAACCATTGCTTTTGTTATAACATTCACAATGAATAAATCCGTTAGTGATGCACCAAATAAAGACGAAGAAACCTATCAACTTCTGGAACAACTCGATCATATACTTAAACGTCCTGAAACATATATTGGTTCAAATAGACCATGTCGTGAAGTAAAATCTCTCGTTCTATGTGTGACTTGCATAATCATTAATTCTAGGAAATGTGGATTGTTGACGAATCAAATGTAGAAGGTCCAAAAATTATTAAAAAAGAAATAACCTATGTTCCTGGTCTCTACAAAATTTTTGATGAAATTCTCGGTAAAGAAAAATAACTATCTGAAAGCGTTTTCAAACTATGATCTACATTTAGTTAATGCCGCCGATAATAAACAACGTGACAAAACAATGTCATCAATTGAAGTTGATATTAATCAGTATGTAAAAGTGTTAAAAGAATTTCTATTTTATATTCTTCTTTTTTCTCTGATAGAGAAAAAGGTGAAATAAAAATTTGTAATGATGGTCATGGTATACCTGTTCGTAAATGGGCTCAAGATGAATCAATTTATATTCCAACATTAATATTCGGCAAACTTCTTACATCAGATAATTTTAATGATGATCAAAAACGAGTTACTGGTATTATTTTTTTTTCATCTCTAAACACTGTTTTTGTTCATTTTTTTTTTGTTGTTTTTCCAGGTGGTCGAAATGGTTACGGTGCCAAAGTAACAAATATTTTTAGTAAAAAATTTTCTGTTGAAACATGTTCAAAAGAATTTAAAAAATTATTCAAACAAGTATGTTACTAATTGAAATATAGTATTAGAAAAAAAAAAAGACAATTTCCTTTAGACATGGACAAATAATATGCGTGATCCACAAGATGCAATAATAAGTAAAGCTGAAAATTCGAAAGAATTTACTCGTATTACATTTATACCCGATTTAAAACGTTTTCAAATGGATAAATTAGATGATGATCATGTTGCTTTATTTAAACGTCGTGCTTATGATGTTGCTGTATCAACAGGTTGTAAAGTAACACTTAATGGTACACGCATACCAATTAAAACAATGAAAGATTATATGTTAATGTATGTTGATGTTGATGAAAAAGAAGTTGTATATAAAAAAGTAAATGATCGTTGGGAAATTGGTGTTGCTAAAAATGATTATACAAATGGTTTTACACAAGTTAGCTTTGTTAATTCAATTTTAACATCTGAAGGTGGTAAACATGTTGATTATATAACTGAACAAATATGTCCTAAACTAGTTGAACATATAAAAAAGAAAAGTAAAGCTGCTGGTGAAAATTTAAAACCAATGCAAGTTAAAAATCATTTATTTCTTTTTCTTAATTGTTTAATTGAAAATCCAGAATTTGAATCTCAAGCTAAAAAACAATTAGC